TCGATGACGACATCGACGACCCTCTTATCACCCATCCCCGGTCTTCTAATATTCGGCTCGATCAAGACGCACCAATAGGACCGCGCGGTTATACCGAAAGAGAAAGCAACCGGCTGCCCGATGGCCTAGTCGACCGTTTAAGCTCTCTCGAAATCGCGAACGAACGGTTTACCCCTAGCGCACAACAGCCGAATAGGGACCGCCGACGCGAAAACGTCCGTTTTCAATGCGATCCCCCACCAAACCAAACTTTCGCTCGCGATCATTTCAACGAAAGCTTCCAGTCGAATCGTCTCCACCCCGGCGGAGACTATGACTATGACCGTAGAAATTACGCCGAAAGTACAATCTTTCCCAGATCTGGCCCTACGTCGAAAATCAACTCCAGTGATCATTATTACAACGCTGGAGTGGGCAATCATGAGAGATCGATCCTTATACCGTTAAACGACCTCACCGCCGCCCGTGCTTCTTTCCCCGAATTTTCCGGGGCCAAAGAAGAAGACCCGGTCGAGTTTCTCGACAGTACCGAATGTATTTTGCGACAATCGAAAATACACCGCTCGTCGTGGGTTAGGGCCGTTGAGCCGCAGCTGAAGGGCGCCGCCGAGAGTTGGTGGAAGCCCATGAGAGTCCTTAAGTTATCTTGGACCGAGTTTCGCGGCGAACTAGCCGAGAGATTCGATAATTCCGACCTTCAGGCCCACTTATTGGCCGAAATTTTGTCAGTACGACAAGGTACAAACCAACGTCTGACCGATTTCGTGCTACATAAGAACCAGCTGACGTGCCGAGTGCGCTCTCCGATGTCGGAAGCGCAAATAGTGAGTACGATTATCGGTCTCATGCGCGATGAATTCCGCACTCATTTACGGCTTCAACAACCCACTAACTTCGTAGACCTAAGGCGAATCGCACATGTTTTAGACAGCACTACGTACGCGACTGATAACAGTTCAGCAGTACCCCACAACACGCCTCAGGTCCATGCGAGCAGGTACCAACCCCGACCTAACATAAACCCTCCCAATAACGGGGAAAACGCCCAAAACGCCCGCAGACCGAATACGGACCGAACGCGCAATCGAGACCCCCCTTCACCGTGTCTTACATGCGGGGGCAATCATTGGCACCGCTTCTGTCCGAACAACTCGGGAAACGGCGGGGGAGCCCAGGGACACTAGTCCATCCCACCGGCTCCTCACTCCAGTTCCACAACACTAACTCCTTAAATGCTCGAAATGTGCCCACCCTGATTCAACAGTCCGATGTGGTCACGCCAGCATTTAAACAAGGGGACATAGTAGTTGACAAACCCGGCAATACTCAAAGTGCACCGACCAATAGCCCAATACCCCTCTTCTCCGAAGTCCAGAACCCACTGACAGTGACCCTTTCCGCAGTGGGGACGAAGGTAAAGGAGAACGGCACCACACATCACCGGTGTTCTACCCATAAGCAATTGGTGCACTTAGCGATCCCCTCAGACATGCCCATAGATGATATACTCCCTACGGGCTCTGAAAATAAAAACACACCTAAAAGTAACCACGCCGAAGTGGACAGAACCATAGAGAATCTGCTAGCAGTGAATGAGTTCGAGGTTCCTAATCAGTTCTTAGAACACCCACTTCAAAACAGCTCTAAGACGTTTATCCATAAGGCAGCGACTAAAACACGCCCTGAATCAATCCCCACCCCTGCCGTTGAATTAGAATTCAAAACGGGCGTCGTTACCGCACTTTTAGATTCACAAGCGCAAAAATCATATGTAAGACCGGACATAGCAAACAAGTTTGGAACTCCCCTCAATGGACTACCCTCTATCGTACGAATGGCCGACGGACACACGAAGAATACTCGTGGGTCTTCGTCATTCGAACCTAAGATAGCTGATCTTAATATATCTTTTAGGGCCTCCATCTTAGACGACTTGTACTGCGATATCCTCCTAGGACATGACTTCCTCGTCGAGAACGAAGTCTCTTGGGACTACTCCGCATGTACAATTCACTTAGGTGCTAACAGACGCACAACAGCTTGTTGGCGAGGCTCACCAACTCCCTGCCCTACAGAACCAGACCTTTCTGAAGTCGAAATTTCGGGCGATCCCACCTCACAGGACCACATAAAACGAATATTGTTACAATACCCAAACGTTTTTAGCGGGAATATAGGCCGCACGAAACTTATCGAGCACGAAATCCGACTCAAAAACCGCACTCCTATCGCGCTTAAACCATATCCATACCCTGTAGAGAAACAAAACTCTATAGACAGTATGATACGCGATATGGAGGAACAAGGCCTAGTCGAACCGAGCACATCGCCCTGGGCCGCCCCTATAGTCTTAGCCAAAAAAAAAGACGGGTCCCCCCGACTCTGTATAGACTATAGACGTTTAAACGAGGTCACCGAATCAGACGCTTACCCCATGCCGCATTTGAACGAAATGATTAGAAACATGCGGGGGGCGAAAGTATTTAGCGTTTTGGACTTAAAATCTGGCTACTGGCAGGTCTCCCTAAGTCCAAGTGCGCGTAGATACACTGCATTCAGAACGCGAAGAGGACTCTTTCATTTCAGAGTACTTCCGTTCGGCTTAAAGAATTCCCCTATGACGTTTGTGAGGTTAATGAACGAGGTACTTAGAGGATATTTAGATGAATTCGTTCAGGTATACTTGGATGATATAGTAATATTTTCCAATAACTTGCCCGACCACTTAGACCATCTCTCGAAAGTTCTCGAACGGCTCGAACGTCATGGACTAACGTGTCATCCTAAGAAATGCAAGTTAGGAACTCCCGAAATTTCATTTTTGGGGCACTTAGTTAGTTCAGAGGGAATTCAAAAACAACCGGAGAAATTATCAGCGATCAGAGACTTTCCGATACCACGGAAAATTAAAGATCTACGTAGGTTCTTAGGCGTATGTAATTGGTATAGTCAATTTGTCGACAACTACTCCGACACGATTGAACCTCTAACCCGCCTATTAGGACATGGGGTAAAATGGCGATGGGAAAGGATAGAACAAGACGCCTTTAATCAAATAAAGAATGCTTTGTACCATTCCCCAAAGTTATCTTCTCCCGACTACGAACGCCCGTTCTGTCTGCAAACTGATGCAAGCGACATAGGCGTTGGTGCTATTCTCTTCCAAAGGGGTGACAGCCCGGAGGAAAGAAGAGTCATCGCCTACGCGAGTAAAAAGTTGAGCGATACTCAGAAACGATACGCTGCGGTCGAACGCGAATGCTTAGCGATAATTTGGGCAACCGATAAATTCAGAATTTATCTCGAGTCGGGCCCATTCGAGCTATACACCGATAACTCCGCGTTGACATGGCTTCACAGAGCCAAAGACAAAAATGCTAAATTAACCCGGTGGGCAATCCAGCTAGGTAATTTAGACTTCCACACGACACATGTCCCAGGGGCCCAGAACCAGGCGCCTGACATGCTGTCGAGACATCCGACTCCGGGCCCCCCCGTAGACGAGGAGGCGCTCGATGAAAATCTTATAGGTGTCCCGACCCTGACACGCTCCAGACATGTAGGCGATACCCCCGATAACATTTTCACCGTTACCGATTCACCGACAGACTCTGTCGACACACCCTTCTCCTTGTCTTTATTGAAAACTTGGCAGACAAGGGATCAGGCCGTGAAATCTATCATAGATTCCGTGAACAATGACTCCCCTGCAAACAATACCAGACAAGCGACCCCCAACTCGAAGGACTTCTTCTTAGTTGACGACCTTCTAAGAAAGCGAATCGGTACGAAAAATGGAATTGAACTGAAACCAATCGTGATCCCCACTTCTAATGCGCCACAGGTAATTTGGAAGTATCACGATCACTACCTTTCCAACCATCCTGGGTGGAAAGAGACTTATAGGGCGGTTCGAGAACGGTTTTACTGGCGAGGTCTAAAGAATCAAGTTAGGCTCTATGTCAAGTCTTGTCACATTTGCGCGTGCACTAAGCCTCTTAACGCCAAGGCGGAAGACCCTCTTTCGACTAGAAAACCGCGACAACCCTGGGAGGTCATCAGTATCGATCTCATGGGCCCTTATCCGAGAACCGGACGGGGCAAAACATGCATACTGGTGGCCACCGATTGCTTTAGTAGATGGGTCGAAGCTTACCCCTTAGGGTCCGCCACTACTAAAGTTATCACACAAACACTCGAGCGCGAATTCTTTGCGCGCTACGGCTATCCCCGTGTGTGCCTCAGTGACAATGGCCCCCAATTCACATCGAATGAAATGCTCAAAGCACTCGAGCGATGGGGGGCGGTGGGTTGGACGACCCCAGTTTATCACCCAAGAGCCAACCCCACTGAGCGTCGCAACCAAGAACTGAAAAAAGGACTCCGTACACTTTTAGTGAACGATAGTCATCGTTCTTGGGATACGAAACTATCGTCGGTACTTTTCGCGATTCGGAACAGAACGAATGAGATGACAGGTTACTCACCGTCGGTTTTAGTCCTTGGTAGAGAAGGAAAAAGACCGGGCGATTGGGTCCTAAACCTTCAATCGACTGTCCCAATCGAACAATTTGACGAAGAGCGTCGGAGCCGCGAAAGAGTGGCCATGAATCTTCTGAAATCAGAAGGGTCCCCAATAACCCCTGAGAACTCAAAATTCAAAGTGGGCGATTGGGTGTATCACAAGGCGCACCCCCTTTCAAATGCCGATAAAGGATTTCACGCCGGATTTGCACCCAAATGGTCAGGTCCGGTGAGGTTGGCGAAGAAGATTGGAAGGGGAATATACCTAACCGATCAACGCCCACCAAAGAAACTCCATGTATCATGCATGAAACCCTCCGCTACCACCGATATACACACGAAAGAAACTAGCGATACTTGACCGACACGGGAAGTATAACAAACGTAATTATGTTGCTTATTGTTGTTACTAATTATATCGTGTTTGTCCCCCCCCATTTCTGTTCTTTTTTTTCCCCCCTTTGTTTCAGCGCATCATGGCCAGCAGCCGACAGCCGAGCGCCGACCAAACCTTGCTACAAGGACTAGCAGACCAAGTAATGGCGATGCAGCGGATGCTGAGCAGCAGAGGGGTGCGCTTTCCCAGCCATGCATTCAACACCGCTGACGAGGCCAATAACGCCTCCCCCGACGTCATTCGGAGAGACCCAGTCGCGTGGGCCCTCTACTCACGTGGCTGGCGGGACTGCATTGCCCTTCTGGCCACGACCCCCATCGGTAATCAGATACCGGTCGGTCCGCCGGTGACAACGGGGCCACATCGGCAACTCCAAGCCGGGCCCACCTACGGGCAACCTAGGGCACCACAGCCCAGGTCGACGGCTCCTCTCCACCAGCTACCACCACGGTCGGCAGCACCGCAGGTGGCGTCCAGGATGCCAACTCCTCCGGTACGCCCGTTCCATCGACCGACGACCGTCCAGGTGGGAAAGACGGTGCGTTTTGTCGGCAGCGGAAAGCCAGCGACGGCGGGACCTCCCAGGGCAAAGGGGACCGTCCCGAAAAAAACCAGAACCCCTTCGGCGAAGCGAAAGTCGGCTCTCCGTCTCCGGGCATTCCGTCAGGCGAAGAAGGAGCAGACAGCTCAACCCCAGAAGCCGACACCATTTACCTCGCAGCAGTTTAGACTGGAAAAACCGGACCATGGGGACGCCGGGCCATCTAGAGACGTGCGCGCCGAGGAACAGCCGACGAGCGACCCGATCCACCCCGAGGTCACCCCGGTGGAGGCCGCCGTCGACCCGCAACCCACTGTCTCAGCGGAAGAGGAAACCCCATCGCTGGAGCAGGAGCTCGAGGAGATGGCCGAAATGGACTGGACGAAGACGGACACCGAACCGGAAGACTTCCAGTCCTGTCCTACTAGCCCTATCGACAAGCCACTGTAGGGCGATCCGCCATACCGTAGTCCGCCATCGGTACCTTACAATAGGTCCTGAGGGCGAGTTGATAAGGGACTAATCCTTCTCGGCCCTGTTAGCTACACCACTACCCGACGGATTGACGGCTTGGCGGGGGAGGGTTGACACGGCCCGTGATACATATTACTAATAGGACGCCGCGCACTGCGGCGTACTATTAGTGATATGCCACGGGCCGCGACACTTTACCGCCACAATCCGTCCGGCAGACACGAACTGACTGGCTGACCACCACTCTCTACCTAGGGTGCAAAGTCCAGTTCGGACGCCGGCATAGCGCGGCGAATATAATGGGTAGCTAATCACTTCCCGATACGACGCGCGACCGACGACTTACCGTTTTCCCAACGTATTCCGTCCGCCCTCGTATCACCTAGAATTAATTCGACGCCTTATCCCGACTTAACTTCTAGCGACCCCCCCACGACTAGCCCGCTAGTTCGATCATTCCGGATCCGTCCGCGTTTTTGTAAACTTAAATTTTAAACCTATTTTATATATTGCGTGGTCGAACAATAAACAGTGTTTACGCCGCAACCCCGTGTTGAACTTATTGACTTAACCCCAACCCGTGAGTTGCGTCCACACACGACCGCGT